GAAAGTGTCCTAAAAAGCTTGTTCAAATGCCTAAAAGCATCCTAGAAATCTATTGTAATACTTTTAGATTTGACGGTTTTTCGCTTAGTCCTATACACTTAAATCATATAAAGTATTTCATTTATACGTTTAGACATTTTAGGCGTTCTATAAACCAATATTTTTGGTGTAGTGTACGGATACCTTTTTTTACCTGAAACAGTGTAAAATACGGTTTTGTCGTAGAAAACTTGTAAAACAAGTCGTACATTGATCGATTTTTAAACACCGTGTAAAAATGTATTCTTTTTTTATATGGTTCTAAAACCATGTAAAAATGTCTCATACTTTTTTGCACGTTGGCCTTTTACAAGGTTTAAAAACCATATAGGAGAACTTTTGTAATAGTGTAAATAGAGAATGGTATTATCAATACACAAATGTATAACTCCCCAGGACAAGGTCAAAAACTTGCCAATATCATATTTGCTTCGTTGAAAAATATAACCAAATTAAAGTTGCAGGATTTCAACAATATTTAAGTGTCTTAATAGATCAATTTGTAAGTCCTATGTTTATAGGATCAAATGATAAAACGTCTTATCTATCTATATAAACGTGTTCTAATAAACTTATATAATGTTTTTGAGCGTCTTAACAAGCTTTTTAAAACATTTTTAAAATAAAACGACATACTAGCTATTTGATAGGATACATTTGAGAAATATCCAATAAACACAGAAACACTTGTTTTTATAAGACATTTTTTTTCCAAATAGTGTTCAATAAAATAACTAATATAACATTTTTTTTATAAAAATATCATCAAATGCTTGTTAAGACGTTCAATAAACTTATAAACAAGTCTATTAAGAACTTATGCATATTTGGCGTCCTATAAATAGAATTTTAAAAAAGAGGATCTGACCTATAAAACTATACTAAAGAAGAATAAAAGAATTACAAGATAAGAAAGGGATATTAAACCGATCACCAACGGCATACAGCCAGGAACAAAAATGACCAAATCCATCCTCCAACACACATGCATGGAAAAAAGACATACCTAAACCTGATTAAGCATACTATTATCCCATAACCATATGATAAGATGGCAATATGATTAAGACCAACAACAATGGTCCATGATGAAAAGACTTAATGAGGAGAGAGGCCCAACAGAGGAGGCACCCAAATTATAATCAGAAACCCAATTAGAAGTGGAGACCAACCCAACCCTATCTCTACCAAAAACATGATCGTTATAATAAAATCGGGTCTATAGGACGTCTAAAGGGTTTAAGTGTCTTAATAGTGTCTTATATTTGTAAGACCAAAGAATAAAGTGTCATATCTAAAAGTGTTATAATAAATTAAAAGAATGGTAGGCGTGTTAATGGTTTTTTTAGAACAATTGTAAAATAAAGCGTTGCATTAGTTATTTTATAGGACAATTTTGAAAATTATCCTTATAAACACGTCTTATTTATAGGAAACTTGTGTTTGTATGACACTTTTTCAAATAGTAGATTATAAAATAGCTAATACGATATTTTATTTTTAAAATGTTTTAAAAAAACTTGTATGCTCTTAATCACTTCTTTTCACACTATTTCGGGAACCTAAGGACTCAATCGTATGGATATGTAAAATACAGGATTTCCAATCCTTCAATGGCCAAAAGCATCTTATAAACTTATGGTAACACTTTTAGACATGACATTTTATATTTTAGTATTGTAAACATAAATCCTATAAAACACTCTATTAGAATAGTTAAATACTTCATACATTCTTTAAACTCAATTTTGTTTCAAGAGATCCAATCCCATAGCTCGAATCCTGGACAAACAAAACCGGCAACCAAATGAAACACATCCTAGAAAGAATCGAACCAAGCAACCATGGAACCTTCAAGAATCATGTGTAAGCTATCACACAATCTCCAAATCATCAAATAAATCTGATAATTGCATAAGGAGACTAACCGAAGAGACACACGAACCACCAAATCACGGGCGTAGGAGCGCTTGCAAACTCCATGGTGAACAAGAAATTAACAAGGTTGGAAGAATGATCAATCCACCAAAGCAACAAGATGAGACTCAATAATCCAAAATCCATAATTATTCCCGTCATCAATTAGAAGCTCTAATAACTATTAGAAATTGATGGTATTTCAACCACGATAATCTTGGTTCGCTCTATAGGGATCGGGGGGGGGGGGGATAGCACAATTCTAGAGGATTTTTTTAGCGGAAAAAAAAGTCTATTCATAGATGAATTAGGTGAAAGAGTCCCCACTTAGTGATCGGTCCGTTAGTTCACACAAATCCGAAGAGTAGCTCAAAGACTTCAAAATCCAAAAGATAAAAATCATATTTAAACATCAATTGATCTAGTAGCACTACAATAAAAATTTCTTTATAGGACGTCTAAAATGTTTAAGCGTCCTAATAGAATAGTTTATGGTGCGTTTAGTATCCGGACATGACAAGTTTATAAGACACTTTTCGGCGTGTCAATAATATTTTTATTAGAATGCGTTTAAAAAAATCGTTGTATTATCCATTTCATAAGATACTTTTAAGAAATGTCCTATAAATCCTTAGTTTTATAGGACATTTTCTTGAATAGTGTCATATAAAATAATTAACACGATACTTTATTTTAAAAACGTCCTATAAATTTTGTTAAGACATCCAAAAATGTCATATAAGTCTATTGTAACACTTTTGGATATGACATTTTTTTGTTTGGTCCTATAAACTTAAGTCCTATAAAATATTCCGTTAGGACGTTTAGAGATTTTAAGTCTACTATAAAAACTAGTTTTATTGTATTGTAATCTACCAATAATATTTGAAAACTCTCTATAACTCCCACCCACCACAACAATAGCTATAACGCCAAAAATGTCTGATTATCCTAATATATTACTTTAAAGGACCTAATCAAGTTTATTGGACCAAACAATGAAAAATATTATAATAAGTTTATATGATTCTTTTGAGCGGCTTAACAAGTTAGAAATTTTTTAAAATAAGTTGTCGTATTAAGTATTTTTTTTTTCAAATAGTGCCATATAAAATAATTAACATGTCACTTTATTTTAAAAACGTCCTATAAAATTTGTTAAGACGTTCAAAAGCGTCATATATGCTTATTGTAACACTTTTGGTTATGACATTTTTTTGTTTGGTCCTGTAAACTTAAGTTCTATAAAATGTTCTAACAAGTCTACTATAAAACTAATTTTGTTGTATTGCAATCTACCAGTAATATTATGAAATTCTCTATAACTATCACCACTACGACAAAACTAGGTTTATAGCTAGAATGCCAAAAATGTCCAACTGTCCTAATATAACTTTAGAGGACCTAATCAAGTTTACTGGACCAAACAATGAAAAATGTTATAATAAATTTATATGATTCTTTTGAGCGGCTTAACAATTTAGAACAGTTTTAAAATAAGTTGTCGTATTAAGTATTTAATATTTTTTTTTGAAACAATGTCTAATAAAATAACTAATATGATACTTTATTTTAAAAATGTCCTAGAAATAATTTGTCACGTCTAAAAGCATCTTATAAACATATTTCAAAAAATTTAGATAAAAATGTTTTTTATTAACCTGAATATCCAATCCGCTATGTGAGCCGACTAATCCCGGTGGTGACCACTGTAACGCCCCATTTCACATTTGCATATAACCCACATATTTCATATAACATGAAATAAAGATATACACATTGGTCTCAAATGTACAAATTGCTACATTACAAAAATAGCTACAATTTTTTTGTTCATTTACATCAAGTACATGTAACATAACAGCTTCCAAAAGTCCACATATGTAAAACAATCATAATTTTCTTCACATTTCCCCCTTTCCCTTCTCCTTCAATTGTGTCTCACCTGTAATGCACATTTTAAAATACAAAATAAAGGTTAAACCATAAGGTCTAATGAGAAATCCCCTTTTGATTACTATTACAAGGTGAAACTCACCAATACACTTTTATAAAGCCTGAATTTTCACTAATAACATATAAATAGTGTTTTATTAAACAAATCTTTTTCTCACATCATATGGATGAGACAACTTCATCTTATCGCATCATAACTCATTGAAGTCTATCTTACTAAATAAACAAATAATCAAGTTGTCGATCACACTGATGCGATATCACAACTTTGTAGCATCATACACATGCGATAACTCCCTTGTCGCACCTCAAGGATGTGATAGTATTTTCTCGCATCTCAATAATGTGATAACCCACTATTGTCGCACCATATAGATGTGATAATCACAACTCATTGCATCAAACATATGCGATAACTCCACCTTTGTCGCATCATATTGATGCGCCACAACTCATCGCATCATACTGATGCGATAAAAATCACACTCATTGAATCAAAATGGTGCGATTACAAATTCCCATGATCAAAAGATCATCATATCCAGTATTTGATTATGCCACCCATATCCCAGTATTCTCAGCTCCTGATTATGTCATCCTTATTACAAAAAATTCCCATTTTTTGATTATGTCACCCTTATTACAATCAGATTATAATAACAAATCAAAACTCAAATTTTATGCTAATAAATATCATGTAATCATCAATTACTCAAGTATAAAACCTTACGATTTCTTCACCCAAAAAACAAATTAAATGATGTTTTCTAAATAAAGCTCACCTTGTAATTAATTACACGTTGATTACAGGTATAAACAACGATGAAAATAAGAGAATCATGTAACAATTTCTTATTCTTCTTCCTTCCTTCAGTTTATGTTTTCTTCAAACTAGGAACACAAACACACATTTTTTCTTCACAATACCCCAAGTACCACAAATATCTCATAATATGTACAAATATCACAATTTCTGAAATGCACCCCTCAACTTTCACAACTTAATCAAAACAACCCCAAACTTTAATAAACTTAAACTCGGTTATCACATTATTCTTCCCTCAAAAGAATTCCATCCTAGAATTCAATCAAACAAATATCTGCAGATATTTGGTTCTCATATCAGACTCGAGTTCCCAGGTAGCCTCTTGCCCCTTATGAAATCGACATTGTACTTTCACCAGATTAACTTCTTTATTTCTCAATACTTTAGTCTTCCGATCAATGACGGCCTCTGGGGTTTCCACAAAGCTTAACTTGTCATCAATCTGAATCGCAGGTAGAGGTACGACCATATTTGGATCAGCCAAATACTTTTCTAAGTATGAAACTCGGAAAGTGTTGCAAATAGTGTCAAGTTCTTCTTGTAACTCTAACTGATACGCTACTGTACCAACCCGTTTACTGACTTTGAATGGCTCAATGTACTTTGGACTCAGTTTACCTCTCTTCCCAAATCGCACAATACCCTTCCACAGTGAAACTTTTAGCATCACATAGTCTCCCACCAAAAATTTAATCGGCTTTCGGCTTTTGTCGGCATAGCTCTTTTGTCTGTCCTGAGTTGTCTTTATTCTTTCCCGAATTCGATCTATTTTTTTGGTCATTATTTAAACAATCTCTGGACCAACCAACTGTTTCTCCCCTATCTCATTCCAACATAATGATGTTCTACACTTTCTACAATACATAACTTCATACGGTGTTGCTTGGATGCTGGAATGATAACTATTGTTGTAGGAAATAACAATCATTGGTAGATGATTCTCCCACGATCCCATAAAGTCAATGATACAAGATCTGAACATATATTTGAGGGTCTGAATCGTTCTCTCACTTTTCCCTTCAGCCTATGGGTGATACGTCGTACTTAACCAAATTTGAGATCCCATGATTTTCTGAAAGCTTTCCCAGAAGTTTGAGGTAAACCATTGTCCCTATTTGAAACGATTGATAAAGGAACACCATGACGAGTCACAATGTCATCGATGTAGATCTTCGCAATTCTTTCTAATAGATGAGTTTCTTTGATTGGTAGAAAGTGCGTAGATTTTGTCAGACTATCCACAATAACCCAAATAGCATCATATCCTTTTGGAGTTCGCGGTAGTTTCATTATGAAATACATCATGATATGATCTCATTTTCACTTAGTAATTTCTAATGATTGCAAATTCTTATAGGGTCATTGATGTTCTATTTTTACCTGTAGACATGTCAGATACCGTTCCACGTACAATGCAATATTCTTCTTCCATCTCGACCACCAATAGAATGGTTTTAAATCTTTGTACATCTTATTGGTACCTAGATGAATTGAGTATCGAGATTTGTGACTTTCATCCAAAATTAACTCACAGTTGCTTCCGAGTCGAGGCACCCAGATTCTACCTTGGAAACACAGAATTCCATTATCATTCTTTAACAGGGTTGCTAACATCTCTTCCATTCTTTCAGCTTTAACATTCTCTTCTTTAGTTGTTTCGTCTTGGTATCTTAGGATCATTTTAAGAATGTTAGGGATCAAATTTGCTCATAATGTAGTGGCTTTGATTGTTCCACTATTCTCTTTTCTGTTGATTGCGTCAACCACTACATTCACCTTCCCAAGGTGATAGAGAATCTCATAGTCATAGACATTTACCAGTTCAATCCATCGTCTTTGCCTCATATTGACCTCTTTCTGATTAAATAGATGTTGAAGACTCTTATGATCTGTATAAAGCTAAACTTAGTCCCGACAGCGGCAACCTCCATATCGTGCATAAGGTACTGTTTTTCGTGATCTTTCAATTGTCTAGAAGCATACTCAATAACTTTACCACGTTACATCAATACACATCCCAGGCCCAACCTTGAAGCATCACTGTAACTACAAAATCTTCTGACCCTTTCTGGTAATGATAATATTGGAGCATTGCATAATCGATCTTTCAACAACTAGAAGGATTTAGCTTGATCTTCTTCTCATTCATACTTTGTGCTCTTTCTTGTCAATTTTGTCAAAGGTGTCGTGATCCGAGAGAAATCTTGAATAAATTTTCTGAAATACTCCACCAAACCCAAGAAACTGCAGATCTCGGTAGGTGTTCTCGTTATTTCCCATCTCTTAATGGCCTCAATATTTGTGGGATCAACTTTTATGCCTGCTTCTGAAATGATGTAACCTAAGAATTGAACTTCTCTTAACCAAAACTCACATTTTGACAGTTTGCGTACAACTTCTCTCTTTTCAGAAGTTCGAGAATCAGATGAAGATGTTCAACATGCTCTGATTCCGATCATGAGAAAATATGAATATCATCAATAAATACAATAACAAATTCATTGAGGTATTCATTACATACTCTATTCATTAGATCCATAAACACAGCTGGAGCATTAGTCAAACCGAACGGCATAACCAAAAACTCATGATCCCATGCCTGGTTCGAAAAGCAGTTTTAGCTATATTTTCGTCCTGAACTTTCAATTGATGGTATCCCGACTGCAAATCGATTTTTGAAAAGTAACCAGCCCCAACTAACTAATTAAATAAATTTGTAATATTCTGGTTGTTATTTCAAGTTTATATATATATATATATATATATATATATATATATGTATACGGATATGTATGTATGTGTGTAATATTTTTTATGATAATTTAAAATTTTAATTAAATAAAAAGGGGGGAGGTCGGCTAGATGAGTCGCACATCACCTCTCCTCCTTTTTATTAGTATATATATAGTTTTTGTGAAGAAAAGGTACACACACATACTATATTTAGAAGTTTTCTCTGAAGAATCAGAAGGATTGCACAGGAAGAGGAATTCAAAAGCCTTGATACTCGATTTCTAAAGGTGAGTGTATTAGAGTTTTGAATATGAATTGTTTACATACAATTTGATAAGCATTTGGAACTGGTTATTATGAATTTGRCTTCATATTATGTGAATTCTTGGTTAAACCGTTCAAGTGGTATCCRGATTGATWTCCGGATAATAAACCGCTCATGCCTTGTCCGGAGTCTTYCCTAAACCGRCYAAGAGGTGACCRGATATCATTTAAACCGGCCAAGAGGTGACCGGATATCATATAAACCGTTCAAAAGATTGAGTGGTGTWTTRACCGGATTATTTTAAACCGGTCAAAGGTTGAAACATGTATTGTCYGGTTTAATTTAAAYCRGTTAACGTTATAAGTGAAGTATTGTCCGGATTTGTAATCCGGACAAAGGTGTTAACTCAATTTCAAGTGTTAAAGTTGACCGGACTTATTATCCGGACAAGATTGACCGGACTTCAAGTCCGAATAAAGAGTTAGAAGATTTTTGAAATGTTTTTGAGATGTAATGGCGGTGTAACCGCGAGAGAGATGAAATGGCGGTGTAACCGCGAGAGAGATG